TTTGAAGAAACTATGGCAATTAAAGGATCGATGTTAGTTATGCAGAAGATTTTCATATTTTTCATAGTTAGCTTGATTCAATTATATTGTTTTACTAATAGTTTTTTGTGAATGAATTTGTTTTTTAACATCTCTTATTTCAAATAAAAGTTTTTAAATTTTCTTAAAATTTCATTCTGCTAAACGTACTGTGCAGTTGTTCATAAGGAAATACTGTCTGAGGAGAATTCAAAAATTCTTGAACGATTGTTTTCGCAATTGTTTTAGTAAAAATTAGATTTTCTGAATATTAAGATAACTAATAATGTTTATTATGAAAGCAATGGTCCATGTCAGTATACAAATAAATCTTTCTGACAAATATTTTTTGAAAAAAAGACAAATATTTTTCGAAGATTGTTTTTCCCTAAGTTTATTACTCGAGAATGTAAAAAGAAAGTCTAAGGTAGTTAGTTGCCTAGTTTTACACTTTACCATTAAGGCTATCAAAATATTTCATGAAAAAACGTGTTGAATAAAAATTAGAAACTCCTTATAAAAGCAATGCAAAGAACAAAAAATTCAAGAATGAATTCGATATACAAAAACAGGAATGTTTGAAAATTAAAGAAATCACTAATGTATACCTACCATCTCGGGCTTCATACACATTCTGCATACAAGAAATTTCTCCTGGGAAGTATTCTTCTGTCTAATACCAATACACAAATAATAATTATTTTTGTTAAAAAATAATCTATTTATTAGTTTTAAAATGTATGTGTAAATAATGCATGCAGGAATAAAAATTAATTATTAATCCCTAAACGGTATTTTGCATCGAATCACTAAAAACATTGAGTCACTTTTCAAATTGTTGCCACCAAATATTATCGCCCTGTATTATATTTAAAGAAATTAAATAATGAAGAATCTAGATGTATGTATTTATGTTTCTCACACTGTGACAAATTAACGATGACCAGACCCATCCAATTTTGTAAAACGTAGTCGTCCCCCGAATATGGGCATGTGGAAGGCCGAATTTTAAATTTGGAATTTGTTTTTTTATCTACTCCATATTTGAAAATCTTTAACAATTTTTTGATTAAAAAACTCAGCGATTTCAAAGCGAGCAGTGGCAACACTGTTACGGAATAAAACGTTTCTCTCTGTGTGTGTAAATGAGAAAAACGCCCTTTTGGAGACAATATAAAATCCGAAAGCATTCAGTTTTTTTTAAATCCTTTTATAAAATAAATTATTGAGAGCAATTAAATTATTAAAAAGCAAGCATAATCTACTGACAAAGACAGTCATTAACAATGCATCTAAACTATTCACGCTTATATAGTAGCATATCAAATGTTTTGAGTACTGAAAATTCAACTGTGATTAAAATTTATACTCATAAAAATTTAATAATGAAAGATTAAATAGTGTAAACAGTAATTCAATTGAATACAAACAAAAAATTTTAATTGTTGATCATGACTGGTCCAGCGATTTGCTCACAAACACCATTATGTAAGAATACCATTTTCTCTTTTAGAACATTAACACGCCAAGTTAATAAACACTATAGCAGTGGTAATACTGCTAAGAGATTTTAGCAAAAGAAACAGAAATTTTTTATTAAGAAATTAGAAAACGACTATTTCAAATTAATGCTTAAATATTATACACTTATTCATATAAAATATTGCTGAAAAATTTAACAAACAACCCTGTTTTCAAAGATTATAACTTTAAAATTGAATAGGAGAGCCTAGGATGATTTGTTAACTATAGATATCGTTAGCACAAAGTTGTTGCACTCTCAAATATCGACATCGTACATACTCAAATTTTGATATTTTTTCTAAGCAGTTCTTTTAAAGACGTATAAATTGTACTTTTATTTTATCCTATGTTTCTGGATTCTTTCAGTTCCAGATTTAGGTTGAGTTATTTTGAGTGTGGTAAAGCAAACGAGAATTATCTGCCCAAAGAGAGCGATGCCTTCGTGGAAGACCTTTCTAAGGAAATGTTTTCTAAGAGTAAGTTTTCTAAGCGTATTCGCGTTACTTATGGGTAAAACAACTGAAACAAAACATGCAGCGAGCTATTTCGCTTAAGTTCGATCTTGGGAGAAACTACCAGAATTGATCTGTCTTTAACCGTTAGGGCTGAAGTTTCTGAATGAAAGTAAAATCCTTCCCTGGAGTCTTGGGAGGTTAGGTGAGGGCAAAAACCAGGTGTCTTACTTAAGGTTTCTAATTCTGATAATGATATATCTAGAAAATGACAACTTCTTCGACTACTACAAATTAATTGCCAGTGAGTAATCGACCTTTTCGTCTGCAATTCTCTCTTTTGTTGTAACTCATTAGGCGTGGTCAAATGCACGTTTTAAATTTTAATCTGTGGTCGTTAAGTTGACTGTAGCCAGGGCAATAACTTGCAGGCATTTAGGAAGCAGCTAACGAGCAGAATTTTAAAGTTAGTCAAGTGAGTAAAGATTAAATTTAATTTATACCTTGCTGTTAATAATTGCTAGCTTTGATCTGCACTGAAGTTTTGGTATTGGTCGAATTGAGGGGTTGAGATTCGAAACTGGTGAGTGGTCCCTTCTGTAATGATTAATTAAGAAACCAGATTTCTTGACCTAGATGGTTGGATTTTGATACTTTTTCACTCAATGCAGAACGCCAAATTTTACCAGTTATTGCCGATACGGTATTTTCTCCCTTCTTTCTACATGCCTTCCTGGTGTAACCGGTAGCACACTTCGCGCGTATTCGAGACGTCCATGTTCGAGTCCCGGGAAGGGCATCGCTCATTTTTCATGTCTCCGGCTTAAAAAATAAACAACTGACTCTACAAAGTAACCGGCATTTTAGTTTATAAAATGGAGATTGAACTAAATTTTATTTCTGTCTCCTGCTTAAAAAATAAACAACTAACTCTCCAAAGTAACCGGCATTTTAGTTTATAAAGTGGCGATTGAACTAAATTTTATTTCGTAGTAATTACAGTACAAAGTCTTTAATCTGGACTTCCATAATTCAGACTTCAAAGCTACAAACTTTCTGCGCATGCACATAATACCTTTACGCATGCGCGTTTAATGTATAACGGACGGTATAAGCTAAGCTAAAATTATCTAATTCAGTTAATATTGCAGATTGCGCTGTTCCTTAATCTTCTAATTGGACTCGGCTTACTATTTTTTGCAGACTGTTAGAGCAATTTATAAAAAGTAAGCTTGAACTTTCGATTATGTCAAAATGAGTTTCCGATTCTGGAGCTGCCAAAGGATCTACAAAGCGAAAGCATGTTTCGATGTCCATCAAACAAAAAGTGGAATTGCTGCAAAAAACGGATAAAGACATGAAGAAAGTGACAGAGAGGTTAGTGAAAACGAAAAAATGTCGATTGACAAGTTAGTCGGTATTCTCGTCACAGCAATTACGGGACTTGAACAGCGGAACTTCGTAACTGAACAAGAAATTATGTCTGTTTATAGAATTAACATAAAACGAAGCAACTTAAACAACTTATTAAAATTCTTTAATAAAGTAAACAAATAAATATTAAGCTCTTTTTTTAATTCCCTTTAGATCATAATTGCTCTTTATTTCATAAATTACGGTTTCATATTTTAAATTTTATAATAATATAATTTCTGCATGCCATCTTACCAGATTTAAATTCATGATCTATAATCCGGAATCGCCGAAGTCCCGACGAGTCCGGATTAAAGAGTTACTACTACTTACTACTGTAGTTATAACCGACCAGATGTGGATAAATAAAGTTTACTGAATTTTAATCTGTGCTTGTGGTAAGATGGCAGTTCTCACGGCGATAACTCGCATTCTATTAGAAAGTAGCTCTAATCCAAACTACCTTTAGGTGAATATCCTGTTACGAATTTTGTATAATGCAACATGAAACATACGAAGAAGCGAAGCTTTGCAGGAAAAATAAGATTACACCGGAAAGTCTATTTAACATTATATTTAATGGCTATCTCGCTAAACAGGCGCGATATCGCTAAGTTGACGATGGTTTTGGAGACTTACTTTTGCCGCCATATTTGATGAGAAAGCGCCAAACTTGGCAACCATTTGATGACATTTTGCTTCAGTCCCCGTATTACTGTAACTGGTACTGTAATTGAATAATAGTAATTCATCGCTACGTGTATCTGTAACTGTATCGTAACCGAAATATCTGTAACTGTATCGTAACCGATGTATCTGTAACTGTATCGTAACCGTAACCTTTAGATGTAACGTTAATCGTATATGTCTTTTAGTAACCGAGAAATTGAAGGTACTATATAAAACCGGAGAGAACATCAGTTTCTAAGCTTTTCAGTTCAAAGTCGACTTCGGAGTACTGAGGTATCTCCGTGTGAGCTTGCTCATTATGTCAATGTGCTTATCATTGCGTTGTGTTTAACATTCTTAGTAGTCTGAAGTTTTGCTACTGATTATACTCTACGATACTCAGAGTATTTATATGGAAATTTTCAGAATGAAGTGTTTCATTTGGTAATATAAATTTTATCAAGCTGTCATCAGTTCTGTGTGCATTCAATCCATTAAGAGTATATACGTATGCAACAATACTTTTAGGAATACTTTAAAGGGTAGAGCGAAAGCTTAATTCTAGATCTGTAAAATAATATAAAAATAAGCTTGTAAATTAATATAATATTTGTCTAATTCTTTTGACGGGGTTGAATATTAATACATGTTCTATAAAAAGGCAGCTGCCCGAAATAAAATCTGCTTAATGTTGACGTGTCAGAGTATTCTGAAATTATGAAAACGATTTTAAAGCAATTTCTTTCCAAATAAATCTCCTTATATAGTCTTATAAAAATATACATCTTGAAAAGCTTTAAAGTATTATTAGTATAATTAATTTTAATTTTACGAATGCATTATTACTGATTTAAACTAGCAATGTAAATATTATATAACCGAATGCATGCATAAAATATGTGAACTATATCTTAAACTATTTACCTGATTCGTTGTATATGTAACACAAGTATTCTGTTTTCTGGACTTCAGCAAGGTATAAATTCTTTTGACTAAATCTGCTACAAGTTTCAAATGTCTGTTTCACCTTCAAAATCCCACATTTCTGTTGCTTATATAAGAGAGATTGTAACTTTGAAATTTCCTCTTGGTGCTCATTCTCCTTTTCAGAAGGTAACTGTTTCAGTTTTCTTTTATGCCTTTTTTCGAGCACAGAAAGATGCTCCTTGTACTTCTCTATCATCCACAGAAGCTTCTCACCTCGTTGCTCGGCTGATTTTAATTTTCTCCTTAATACTACTTCATTGATTTGATAGCCAGATTTTTCTTCCTGCCAAGTTCTTTTCTGACTCATAAGATTCTTCTTTAATAATTTGAAATCATTACGCTCATTTTATTTTGCATGTCTTAATATCAAGCCACCCTGAAATATAATAATTAAATGAGATATTTGATATTTGGATACCTAATACAAGATTTAATTCCATAAAAGTATTTTATGAGCAACTTTGATTATTTAATCCATATAAAGGTTAAAAATATTAACTCTTCATTAATATATAAACTGTTACTGCAGCATAGCTTATAATTAAAAGCACATATTCCAGACATTGAAACATTAATGCAGGGATTCCTCGGCTGTCTCTTCTAAGCACCATTTTATTCTTAACTGTGAATGACATTCCTCACGCTTCCAACATTATACTATTGATGTATGCTGACGATACTGCCATCCTAGAAGAAAATGGATCTTTGTATTCAGTAGCTTAATCATTTTGAAATCATGTACATACACCATACACTAATCAAAATCTTGGGCTATATGCTGAAAAAATTAAAACAAATGTTGCGATGATGGTTACTTGACATATATGTACAATGCTGTTGTCACGAGATCAAGTAAGTAAAATATCTTGGTGTTGTTTTTGACCATCATTCAACTTAGCAGCCTAAAGTTACACTTATAAGTTCTAAGTTTTGGAAGTGTAAAGCATAACTATCCGAGCTTAATGCTGTAAAGACAGCGAATTCTCATTTTCTAGACGCATATGCGTTGTTAGGCTTAGAGCTTCCACGTGATTTCAGAAATAACAACGCTGTGAATGCTCATGAATGTTCCTTGAGCCAGGTCTTAACATCATAAGTCTTAATGCATTTCGAATGCATTAAGACTGGTTCTTGCCTCTAAATGGAACTTCGATTCTGAATCTTATGACCAAGACGCGATCAGGAGCCAGTCGTGTCATTAAAGAAAGCATTTTGCTTTAAGCAATTTGGAGAAGTGTGGACTGTTAAGTAAATTATACCATTTCGCTTCTTGATGAAATATTAGCACTAGAAAAGTCTCGGCGATTTGTTAGAGAATCAGACATCCGAAATTGTTTTCGGTATGTTGGTCGAGCAAACAGTGTTGCCGCAGCGAGTTTCAGGAAATGCGCCACCCGACTACTCGTAGTTTATTGCAATCCAAAATTTAATAACTTATTCAACATATCTTTACTGCAAAGGAGGGTACAACTCTGATATACGCACTAATTTCACCAAATGTGGCGATATGTGTTCTGCGCTGGTTTGGGGCGTGATTGCGTGTTTTGGCAGCCCTGTTGACGTTGAAAAATCTTTGGCTGGAGTTCGCTGGTTTGCGCCATGTTCTGTATCTGAGAAGCTAGGGGGGGGAAGACAAAATGGTTGAAGTTGTTGAAGTTCGGCAAAAGGAAATATTGTCGTGGCCATCCTATTGAGCGGCGGTGAGTATTTGGAGGTGTGGAAAGAGGGTCTGGGAGAAGTAGGGATTTGTGATTATTTGTTATTTTATTTATTTGTGAACCACAGTATAAATTTTCTGGATAGTCTGTCTGGCTGTCATACAAATACGATAGTGATTACGTGGCGGCATGAAATTGGTATCTCTGCTGTTCGAAAAAGTGGTATCTCTGCTGTTCGAAAAGTGTATTTCTGCTGTTCGGTAAGTGCGTTTTATTTTATTCTTGTTCTTATTTTGTAGAATGTTATGTTCATGTTTTTTTAGTATAAATTTCTGTCGTTATTGTTTTTTTTAATTGTTTGAAATTTATTTTAGTTATTTTGCTGATTAGTGCGTACCGTCTAAATTGTGCAATTCGTAGATGTTTTTTTAAGTTGAAACAGAACGCTGTGTACATGGTATTCTTTGAAATTTATTAAAGCGAGGTGTTATGTTAATTTATTAAAGTGAGGTGTGCGTAGCACGTAGCCTAGATTGTGCCATTCATTAGTTACGAATACCGCCGAAGAACTGCCGTGCGTCGCTGTTTTCACGCTCCTCAATATTCGCCATCTTTCGCGTAAGTCCTCATAATTAGGTTGAGTAAATCATACCATACTATTGAGGAAGCCAAGACATGCGTTTCGATATATGGATTAAGCCTGTATCATCCATACGTAAAAAGTTATTAATTAATTTCTAGTTTACTCGTGGGAGCCCATTGTGTCCGTCATTGTTCATGCAAGGGAAGAACAACATGGCTTTTTAGTCCATCATTTACTCTCAAGATTTATATCACCGGACGCGCAATCGTGTCAGGTTTTCCTTCGAACTATTTTCGTAGTGATCAGATTATTATTACGTTAATTACGTAAGATTATTTAGCTAGCACGTGGTGTGATGAGTCATCTATGAAATTGCAGGAAAAAGTACGGTTTCATCCCTGAACGTATTGCTAACTATGACAAAGAGCTCCAAAGAGATAAGAAAAGCTGGTGATAACAAAAGGTACTAGTGGTTTCTTCATCAGGCAGTTTCTCCAGTTTTTATAGCCCTTTTTTCATGAAAAAAAGATGACAACAATCAGCGGAAAATGACGATTAAGGATTTCTAAATTAAAAGATTCTCCGTCAAATAGTTTCAGAAAATATAAAATTTGGCTTATTTTCTCCTTTTTACCCTGGAGGAAATCCCAATCCCACCGCAGCAATCCCCACAAGGAAGGAATCTACAACGTTCCCCTTCCCCCCCCCCCAGGACCCCCCCTTACGAACAAAGAGCCTCTCTCACTACGTTTGCGGTTTTTACGACAGTGGATATTCCTCAATTGTGCAGTTCACTCTTTATTCAATTAGAAAACGGAAACAGGACAGAGAAAATCCCCTCTCAAGTTTTTCCAGAGTACTTTAAAAGTGAACTTTGCATCTCTATTCGGTCATCTACCTACTTCAATTTTAGTTCTTTTGGTGAAATTTTGATTTTAGTAACAGCTTGTACAGACTCTATATTGTGTGATAAGATTAGTGTTTCATTGTTTTCGCACTCTTTTCTTAACAAGAATTGAGAATTTTCTCTCTTGGAGAGTGTCTAACTTACGGAAGAAGTACTGCTACCAAGGTCAAGGCTAAAGAAAGAGAAGGGCTGGGTCATCCCTTTGAGAAGAACGATGCCGACACGAACCCCTCTTGGACGTCTTGGGGAGGATACCGGATGTTATGTGACGTCACTGGGTTCGTCCCGTCGTCGATTGACCAGAGCATCAGTGCGAACGATTGAATCTTTAGTTCTTGGATTCTCTTTCTTTAGCCCTGTTAGTTTCAGAGAAAGAGTTTTTTTTTTTTTTTTTTTTTTTTTTTACTTGAAAGTTGTAACTGATGATACTTTTAAAGGGATTTTGTATTTCGAAAGTTCTTGTAATGAGAAATCATTGAAAAATGGTATCGTGTGCCGTTGCTACCTGTAGCAATACGTATCATAATACGAAAGAAACTAGCGTGGTATTTCATAGATTTCCGTACAAAAATATTCAGTTAACGAAAGAATGGTTGCATAGGTGTCGAAGAGCGGATATTGTTAACACAAAGAGTGCTCGAATATGCAGCATTCACTTCACTGAATTTGATTATGAGGATGATATGAAAAATAGGTTGCTAGGATTACCGACAAAAAGATACTGAAGTCAACTGCTATTCCAACTGCTTGTATTCTGACTTGGTTATTTTATCAGAATACACCAAGGCAGCAAAGGCAACAAAAAAGAAATAATTTACAAAGTGCATTTGAAAGAATTCAGAATTTAGTCCTAAAAAGCATGTCTGGGACTTCAAAACGATAACAGTAATAGCTATGAGGAGCTCACTGAAAATAATATTACTCAGCAATGTTGTAACTGTTCCAACCTCCAGAAAAATGTGAATGATTTAATCACAAAATTATCAGCTCTTGAGAATTTGTGTTTTACAGACTGAGAGAAAGCAGCATTTAAAAACTATCTCCCAGCAAAGAAAAAGATTTAAAAGGAATAGAAAACTAATATTAAAAGAAGTTCAGAAACTGAGGAAAGACATTAAAAAAGTGAATCAAGAAAATGAAAAACTAAGAAAAATGAAAACGTATATTCAAAACATATTTACCGAAACTCAAATAAATGCATTAATAAAAAAAAAAGCGAATTAAATGGTCTCCAGACGACATTTCAAAAAGCATAGTAATCAGATCGTTATCCGTAAAGTCATACGACTTCTGGAAAGAAAAAATGGGTATTCCGCTTCCAAGTGCAAGTACTCTGAAAAGATGGTGCTCAAGATTCAGTTGCATTCCTGGAATTTTAAATGATGTACTGTTATTGATTAAAAAAACTTGCCAAAATGCAACTGACGAAGAAAGATTATGTGTATTAAGTTTCGATGAAATTCATATAGATTCAAGACTCTGTTATGATTCAAAATTGGATCAGATATTAGGTCCTTTTAAAAAGACTCAATTTGTATTGGTTCGAGGACTCATTTCGCAATGGAAACAGCCCATTTATTTTGATTTTGATCGTCAAATGAAAAAAATCTTCTGTCTTTTCCATTTTGTTTGCACTTGAATCGTCTGGGCTTCGAGTCAAAGCAATTGTATCTGACATGGGAGGTAGTCAGACCCTTTGGAAAGAATTAAAAATTTCAACAGTATAAATTTTTCTTTTACAGTCCCAAGTTCAGCACCAAAATATGGGTTTTCGCTGATATGCCGCAATGCAGAAAGCTTTTGAGAAACCATTTTCTTGATAAAGGGTTTTATGCTCGGAAATGGTACAGTTATAAACAAAGACGTTATATATGAAGTTACTCAATAAAGATATCGGAGAAATTAAACTGTGCTATAAACTGAAACCTCAATTTTTATCTGTAAAAGGGAACGAGAGACAGAAAGTAGCACCAGCAAAAGCATTATTTTCCTCCACAACGGCTAAAGCAATTATGCATTTGACTGGTAATGCTGCAACAAGTAATTTTTTTCAATGGTTGATGATTTTTTTGACATTATGAATAGTAGTGTACCATTACCCCCCTACAGAAAATTTGGTAAATATAACGCTGATTTTTGTTGTTTGACTTCTGAATTAGTACTATTAGAAACGTTTAACTATTTATTCTATTTTCCAGTTACTCTACTGATATACTTTGGCATACATTTAATTTCTAATACATATTTAATTTTTTTGATATGGAAGAGAAGGTAAATCACTTTTATCATATGAGTCATTTTTCAATCAAGAAACAGAGTCATATTTCTACCACATCCATCACTCAGAAGACGAATAGGAAAGCCTTTTGGATAGTTGGTGAAGGCGCTAGGAAGCAAAGGTGTTTGATCAGCAGTAGCAAAATACATTTCAACTATATTTGGATGAGGCCACAATTTCTTTTTCCTGACTTTATATTTTGTCATTTCACCCAAAGAAAACTCGCCAATAATTCGCGAAGAATTTGCATTTAGATAATTAATGATACATCTTTTTATCCAAGCAATCAACCGTATCACTTCGTCATAGCTTGAAAAATAATAATTGTACCAACTTGATCCGTAATCTGTATCCATTATTTTTCTTTTCATCAGTTTTGCGGCTACAAGTGTTTGAGTAACTTGGAGAACAGATAGAAGAGTGCTCATCAGATTTTGTTTTTCTCTTTTCCTTAGCTATAGAATATTCATCAATATTTTGTTCTGTGACAGGCCAGTTAGATGATGATTCTAATAACCAAGTGGGTTCCTCCCACCATTTGGTTGATAACAGCTGTCTAGCGGAACATCCTCGAGAAAGCAAATCAGCTGGATTCTGGATCCCAGGAAGGTGTGAATGCTCATCTCTGGCATCATCTATTATTCCCAATTCAGTCCCTTTTTTAAAGACATCATCATAGGTATCAAATAATTTTTCTGAATTCAGACTTTTTGTTGAGACTTCAAGTCTTCTTATCGCTATATCTTTGTTAGTGAGGAGAGGCAAATGATCGTCTTTTCCGCGGTAAGGCAACTTCGTACGGCCTATCATCCTTAATTCTTAGTCTCTCTTGAAAATATTTCTTCGTAATAAATTCCTTTTCCTTTCGTGATTTTACTTCGACTGTATCGGATATTCCTAAGCTGTCTAAGGAAAAAAGGTCAGGAATATTGGCATCTTTCGCAAACATTGTTACAACCGTCATCGCCGTATCTTCCCTTTCAGCATTCACTGATGTTTTACCGATCAATGTCCAGCCCAGGTAAGTTTCTATGGCTACAATTCCACTAGAAAGTACTCTTTTTCTGTCGGTGAAAAGTCGATCAGCCACATCTGCACCAATTAAAAGATCAATAGGCCCTGATGAACCTTCAGTGTCATTATTTTGGTACATTCATAGACTGGAGCTCTTTAATCCAAGGTCCATTTAAGGCAGAAGGTACAGCATCACAAATTGTAGCTTGCTCTTAAATATCAAAAGTACAAGTAAAATTATCGTTTAAACTCTTTAGCTTAATTTTGTACACATTATGCACATTTTCAGGTGTTCGTTTTCCTCCGAAAAGGGCGTGGCTCAAAATCTGTTGTCTAGAAGGTATCAGGCCTAGAGTAGAAATTAAATCCTTCCTTAAATACGATTTTTGAGATCCTGTATCATATAAAGTTCGAACACAAAGTGTACAATTATTTCCAATTATTTTTACTTTCAGGGTTTGCAAAAGTACTTGTGGTGTGTTGCTAACGCTAGAAAGATTTACAGAATTTTCTTCCTTGCTAGTTTCTTTTTCATTGCTGTTTAACATAGGCTTCTTAACATTTGTTTTATTTTTAAGCAATTTAAACACATAATTACGCTGTGATTTTTATGGCAAATTGTACATTTAATAGAACTCCTGCATTTATTTGCACAATGACCAGCCTTTAAACAACGAAAGCAGTGCCCTTTATCTTTTAAGAGTTTTTGCCTCTCTGAAAATGTCATTTTTTGAGCCTTAAAACAATTAAATGAATCATGTTTTCCGCTGCAAAACACGCACTTCTTAGCGGAAGAATCAGTACTCATTAAATTTGCTGCCGTTGATGGTCGATCGTGGACAGTTTTAATAGATTTAATTCCACAGATCACTTCGTTCCTCAAACCCAAAACCAGCCATAGCTAAACTTATGCGTTCTTCTGATTTCAAAAATTTTAATAAACTGTCCAGTCTACATTTAGGGTCTGGACCATGGTCAGCATTTGCATTTCTTTGATAGGCTCTTAAAAAAATCCTCAGGCAAGCAAGATTCAACTAAAAGATAAAGTAATGCAGCACTTTCATCTGTAGTGACGCCAAGGGTTTCCAGAGCCCGAATTTGTTGTTCCAAATTATCATATAATGCACATAAGTTATTACAGGAATTACTAGAATTTGCATTTCTCAGGACCAATTTCAACAATTCTCTCACATAAACTTCCACTTGCAAGTCATTTCGACTAAAACGAGCCTTCAAACGTTCTATGGCCTTGGAATAATTAGCAGATGTAGGGGGAAAACTTTCTATAACCTCCCTTGCACGCGAACCCTCAACAGTCGCTTGTAATAAATATTGAAATTTATCACTATCAGAAATCGTAGTATCTTTGTCAATTTTTTCAAACTGACTCCAAAAAAATAACCATTCCTTAATTTCACCATCAAATTTTCGTAATTCAAGCTTTGGAAGTTTAAATGTACGTTTAGTACGTACATTCTCATTAACAGATTCATTCAAAATTAAATTTGAAGTACTTACATTTTGTAGATTCTGAAGAATATCTTTCACTTTAGTTTCGATTCTAACGGCCTTGTCACGATAATCTTCAATAATATCGAATTCTGCTTCAATTTCGTTTCCGGACAGTGTGCTAAGATAACGCACGTGCGTATCTTCCAAACGTTGAGCTTTCGAAACAAAAACATTAAGCTCCGACTGTAATTCAGAAGAATTTATATCACTTTTCTTTAAAATTTCTTCTAAAACATTGAAGGCTTTTGTAAAAGCAGCTCTGTGAATCTTCTTTTCAAGTTTAATAGCTTCTTTAGCTTCCATTTTTATACTTTAGAATTCCAAACTAACGTCTCTTATGTCCCGTCGAGGGTACCATTAAAATGTTCGCTTATGCGTCAAACTATTACGCTACCAGCGTATCAAGGACTCTAAAGAAACTACTATATTCTAAAGTATTCATTTATTTAATAACATCACTCCGGTATATAACATACAATTAATCTTCAATAAGCCTAACTAACTACAGAAACATGTTTACCTAATTCTAAGAATTGCCCTGTTGCCACTCTCATGAAACCAAACTAACAACAATTATTAGTGGCCAAAAGGTAAAAGTAATAAGTATTGTAAAATTATAAGTATAAAATTAAAGTAAATACAAACTACATTGTTTTGAAATCCAACACGTATTCCAGATTTATGTAAACATCCAGTTTGGAGCGGAAGTGGGCATATTTATCAGTGATGTAGGGGTGAGTGCAATAGCCCGGTTAGATTTAAATGGTTCTTCTATTTCACGCTCTATCTTTCGAATACTGCGCAACAGAAAATTTTGTCTGCGCTTTATACATTTTAAGCTGATGTACCATGAAATTTAAAAATTATAGAATTAAATTAAAATGCGTAGAAACATCAGGTCGTGACATTTCAAAGAAAAACCATTAAAAGAACTGTAATAGTAAACTATTTGTCTTAATACAATTCATCATCATTTTATAAATATTTTAACAGATAATATGAATTTAATAATAATATTTAATAGGTAATAATTAAATTAATAATAATTTAGATAATGCATCTTAATTAATTGTAAGATTTTCAAACATGAAAAACTTTTATCTGTTAAATATTCTTTAATAAATTACATTTATTAATATAAACAAATGATCTATAAATAAAATAAAGCAATTTAATGAGAAGAGGTTGCATAAAAATTATTTTAGTTTTAATTAGTCATGTCATGCCTTTTTTTCCCCTTTACATTTTTGGCTGCTTAAGTGGGATGGTCAGTCTTCCTAATTGTGATTCTTCATCACAAACTTTAATCACGTTATACACTAATTTCTTAAAAATGCTGCGAAAAGGATTATTTCTAGAGAATTTTGGAACACTAGAACTCATCGTAAAAATGAAGAGTTGAAAGCAAAAGAAGATCAGTAACAGCGATGCGCAACGATTGTAAGAAAAATCACTAAATGACTTCCGACAGGAAAAAATACCTACGCTTTTCACCCACAACCCTGTGATACTTCTTAAACAATTTGAAGTAAACTCAGATGACAGAACACAGCAATAACTTTTATTTTACACTATATATATATATATATATATATATATATATATAAAGGCCACATACAAACAAGAGAAGAAAAGGTAAAAAGAACTTATTAAAAAAAAAAAAAAAGAAAAAAAAAAGAACAATTACATGCTTCGCGCGAGAAAATGCATGCGGCTCTCGAGCCTGCGTTTCAATATTGCCAGTAACCTATACATTATTTATTATTCATCTATTTCAAATGCACGAGAGATTAATAACGATATTAAAGCTGTTACAACCGATACTGCATCTGAGAGGGAAAAATACCCACGCTTTTCACCCACACCCCTTCAATTAAACTGACCATCTTGGCTCTCAGCCAAACTGCTCTCGCTAGTGTGGTTAGACGATAACGGATTAATAATAAATAAATATGAATAACTATCAACGATTAATTAAATCAATTAATAAAAAAAATCTGACAGCATTCAGATTTTACATTAAATCCAAACCGGCGTTTTTTAACACTTTGTGTGTTTACATTATTTATTAAATATCATGTTCTTGCTTCTGTCGAATGAAAAGAGAGTGACAGCGCGCTTTTACTCTATATCAGATGAAAGAATGTCTGAAACAACAAAAGGAAAATATGAAGAATCAAGATGGTAGAATGAGATATTTCACTTAGCCGCCATCAGTCGGCGAAGAAAGATGAAATGAATGAAAATAGACCAGCACTGTGAAAAAAAATCATAATCTTGTGATCATTACTGATCATTGGATCAGTAAGGTAGTAGGTACTTCAAATAATTAACAAAATGTTAGGTTGAATATCCGAAGGATATTTGTGTTCCGCTCTGGGAAAAGGTGAGCATCGCAAAGAGCTGATACAGCTGTTTGGATGTAATAGTATAGGAAGGGAAAAAATGTGTTGCAAGTTTTTTGATATAATTTTGTATAGTATCAATTTGAAGATCTCTGTGAATATATGAATTTGGGATGAACCAGGGTGCATTAATAATTTCACGAAGGGTTTTATTTTGAATAACTTGAATCTTTTTTTATCATGATCTTCGCACTTAAGCCATAAAATTCAGTTCAACAGCAATATCGCAAAATAATTTTAAAAGAGCATATCTTAAGAATTTCCGATACACAGTCTCACGCGTTGGAGATTATTATTATTATTATTATTGTGTGTACGGTGTTGCTATTTCTCGCTTTTAAATCGTTGAGTTTGTTAATCAAAAATTCGTTAAAATTTTATTAATTTTTGAATAGATAATAAAACAAATTCCAAATCTGGGCTTTCAGGTGCCAATATTCGGGTGGAAACGTGCGTTATTAAAAACTTGATGGCTCTAGGTACCGTTGTTTTATCACAATGCGAGAAACATACATACATTTATGCAGATTCTTCATTATTTCATTTCATTAAATATAATACACGGCTCTCATATTTGGTGGCAACAATAGCCCTTCTGGGCTAACACCCTTTGGGCTAATTATAAATTAATTTATAAGTTAAATAAATATACATAACTGTAAAAAAAAAACAAAATGTGTTCAATTACTTTTAGCACAAAATCAGACTTGCGAATTTGCGAAATCTTCACGAAAATGTCGGATTGGCATAAACGTGCCGTTGAACAGTTTCAAGCGAGAAACTGATTTTTAGTTTGTGCACGTTTGCGCATGTCGCGATATTGCTTTGAAGATCTTCAAAACAGAGACCGATTTGAGTAAGGATGTGGCACCCTTAAGAATTACCAGCTTTGGAAATAAGAATGTTTGTAGTAGTATGAATTTTATGTAAGGTCTTCTTTTCTTTTTTGAAACGAGTGATTTATTATTAAAATTAACGTTATGAGTTGTTAAGGGGTAGATTATACTATCTTTATGTACTTCTGAAATTTTACTGACTTAAGCTTTTTGAATACGAGTAATAATCTGGGAGAAGAAAATTCAAATGTTTTCGAAACGAAGTTATATTTTAATATTTTCATCTGATCTTCCTAAAGATTAACATTAGATAGAAATACTAGAAAAAGCAAGAGAACGCATAAGGCTATACAACTAAATACTGAGCTTTTGGAATTTAGAAGCAAGATTTTTTAACGGCGCCGACAACAGTTTCGATTCTAGAAGAACATTTTTGATGAATAGGAAAAAACAATAAGAGGAAGAACTGACATTTTTCAAATGAAGATGATTTAATTCATACTCAGTTTTAAGTAAACATTTTACGGTGACGAATAAGTAAGAATTTGTACACACGCATAGTTTTAGAAATGCAAATAGAAGATTCAAGAAAATGGCGATGGTTCAAAATATTTTACACTCTTCAAACGTAAAACCGGTTGATATCAAAGCAAATGAACATGGAATGGAACTACAGAAAGGTGGTAAACACTAAAAGCATAAATTAATAATGGAAAAGAGCAAAACGTTAAAATACGAGACTTCATGAACGGCAGTAAGAATAAAGTGTAAAACGATAATAACTACAGAACACGATAAAAACAACAAAACTTTTATGATGCAGCAAAATTTTAAAAAATTAACAAACAATTGGCCTTTATGAAAATATCAAACACGACTAAAGCGACCAATGTTTAAAGATATAATATATATATATATATATACAAATGAAAAGAAAATTTCACCAACTTTCGAGAATAAGATAATCCAATATCAACGTAAAATTACGATCCCCCCCCCAAAAGGCAAACAAGAGGAATTAAAAGAAATTCCTAGAAAATGTCAGTTGGTAGCAAAAATTGAAATTGGAAGAGAAACATGACAAAATAAAATTTTAAATTAGTAAATCAGCAACCTTAGTTCATCGCGGATTTCGAAAAAAAAAAAAAAAAAAAAAAAAAAAAATATCGATCTCGAAGAAGTCAGATTCCTTCTTCTTCAAGAGGGAAACAGTGTTCAAATTCGGAGCTCAAAACATAAATGGTAGGCATTAATTAACTAAAATTTTCACTTACTCTCTTGAAAGTTAGTCCTATGCGTTGATAGTAGTTAAATTAAGCAAACAAAGCATTAGCCTTTTAGGCGAAAATTATTCGAGGAGACATATGACACTCATTACGCCATCTGTTGACAAGTGGAATAATTATTTACAAACTAGTTTAGGCCTTTTAATATATTGATTTAAAGAGGTCAAAAGGGAAACAAATAATCTAGTGAAACATGAAAAGTATAAGGTTTCAAAACATGAAAATTACAAAGTTTGAATACTGAGTACAAACATTTGAAAAGTATTAAATGTTAAACAGCGCCGGATCTTTGGTTTTTCTGATGTGGGGCAAAAGCTAAAACTGTCGCCCTCACCCATCCTCCTTTAAGTTTCTCTAACAGGTTTGAATTTGTTTAATAAATACAGAAATAGGTGGGGTTTGATGTAAAAACTTAAGATCAATTTAACCTAAATTCTTTACATGCCTTTTTTTTTTTTTTTTTTTTTTTGTTTGTTTGTTTGTTATAAAGGAAAAATACGTACCAAAGTTACATAATTAGAAAATCTTCCTCTCCTAGGAGAATCGCCTTTCTTGTGAGCTTACTATCGGATTCAATCCTAGTCCTAACTCTAATCCTGAGTACTTTTAACCCTCCAGTCCTCGAAACTATTCGTTTTTCCGCTCTAGGGGGAACAGGCATCTTCTAAACTTTTCAGTATTCCGTGTCATTGCATACTGGTTCAATTAGGTTAGGTATGAATATGGCAAAGACAGGAGGGCTATCTGCTTAGAGGAGAGGTGCTTTCGTGGAGGAA